CTACCCCATTTCCCAATATTGACCCAATGGTCTATATATCAACAATCAACAACAATATCATTATTTTGAAACCCACAATACACATTTTAGAATCAAAATAACAAAACCTTCTTTTAACATTTGAAACCCTAAGTCCCAAAATTTCCCAACTTCAACACTTAATCAAAACAACCAAAAATCTATGTCAAAGACCATAAGAGTGAATAGGAATCCCTACCTCAAAAGATGACACCCAAAGAAGAAGATGACGAAAACGAAGTTGCTCCAAATCACAAGTTTCTCGGATCAAAATGTAACCCTCGACGATCAACCCAACTTTTACAAAGGCCAAAGGTGAGGAAACAACTCCTACTAGATCAATACTTAGAGAGAAGTTTGAGTTTTAAAGTGAGGTGCTCTTTAATGGCTTTCAGAAAAGTAAGAGAGAGAAAGAATGAGAAAAAGTGATTCAAAAATGCCCCACAGCCAACTGATATACGACATTCCCGCTCGAGCGGAGAAAACAACGCTCGAGCGTCAAGAACAAAAACTAGGTCCGCTTGAGTGCCAAGACACAAGAATAAAGTACATCCGCTCGAGCGAGAAAACCAGTCCGCTCGAGCGCAAATTTCCCTCTCCCAGAACTTTCACCAAGACAGTACTACCCGCTCGAGCGCCAACAAACCCGCTCGAGCGCAGGAAACTCGCTCGAGCGTATAAATCACACCTGCAGAAGTTTTGCAGGGACACGAAATACTGGGAGTGTGCAATCTCTGCTCGAGCGCAAGAAGACCCGCTCGAGCGGACCTCTTAAAAACTGGGTAACAATGAATTGAAACCAAAGTCTAACCAACCTGTAACAACTCTGCCCAATACATCCTAAAACTCAATCAAGCGGAATTAAAGGACGACAACAAGGTATACAACCACCAACATCACGGAACCAAAGTCCGGAAAACAACAGATACAGAAAGGGAAAACCGGGATCGCTATACACAAACACATAACATATACACATTGAAACACAATATTACTTCCTTGATCAAACTTGACTTCTCATGTCTTTTGTCTAAATAATCCGAAGGTCTACTATGCTTATTCTTTCTTATTCAAATGAATCGGGTTCTCATTTCACATATTCATTCATTACTAAATCATTCTTTTCTGAATAAACCAATTTCTTACTTGGCTTCTTAATCAATTACCACTAAGTCAATAACTTATTCTTTAATCAACTAATTAATGTTGATTAGTAGTTTATCAATCCTGTTGTGTCATAATTCTTGCCTAAGAATGCTTGGAAGTGAAAGAGAACAAAAATCGAAATATGAAACAAAGTTTCAAAATTTTCTGAAACAGGACTCTTCGCTCGAGCGCAACATTGGTCGCTCGAGCGGATCCCATGGTTTGCAAAAATACTGGTTGCTTGCATTCTACGCTCGAGCAACAACTTCTTCGCTCGAGCGATGATGACGAATTCTGGGTTTTCCAGAATGTTGTTTAAACTTCAAAACACAATACCAAGGCTTCAAATTCATGCATGACTCACTCGAATATGCAAAAACATTCCCAATTACATATATTTAAAGTTAATTCCACTTATACTTCAAAATTCCAAGATTTTAATTCAAATTTAAACCTTGGATTTCATGTTTAAACATCATCTTTCAATTCTTTCTTTGTTTTTATGAAACTTAAAATTGAATCTATAAGGCCCTTTCAAAAATATTTGCATGTACGAAATTTAAATCAAAATCAAACTAATTTTTGATTCTCAAAGTAAGATTATAATTCATTCCTTAATTTGTCCAAACTTAGATTTAATTCATTTTCTTTATAGCAAAATCAATTTCTTAGAATTTAAAGTTATTAACTCCATCTTTAACCAAATACTTAATTTATGATCATAGATGTTCCAAAATATATTTGAATTGAACAACACTTTTAAATTAAATTACATGCATGGATTAAAAATCAAAATTAAAGAAATTCCTAATTTTCATAATGAAATCAAAACTTTGTCTAACTTTAAGATTAACTCCAATTTTTCATAAACTTGATTTTTCTAAAGCTTTTTCTCTTTCTCTTCAAAATATAAAATTGAATTAATTTAGATTTTTCATAATCTGTGATGCATGTTAATATTATAGTGACCGTGATACATATCCTTAATATGAACTACTGCATACCTGTACACCTACATGTGAACTTATTTGGAGAATGCAACATTGTATATGACCTGAAACACTTCAATATGAACTATTATGATACATGACTCTGATGTGATTTTGAGAACTGATGAACTTAGAACAACTGTCGAACTATTGATTATGTACCTAAGCGAATGGAAATATGTGTTATTATTAATTGTGATATGTGCCTTGTAGTAATTTGTGCATATCTGTCTGATTTGAAAATTATTTGTCATGATTTCTGCTTTGAATCTGAAATTGTTAGCCTAAATGCTTTCAGAAACCGAATTTGAGTACATGGAGAGACTAATGGAAATATTTGGAACCATATGAGTAGTTTTGTTAAAAATTGATTCAATTCAATAAAATATATGATTAAATTGAGCCTTAATGGGAACTATTTTGGATTAATTGAATTTTGTGCTAACCTTGGTTAGGTATGGCTAGGGCTGTGCAAAATACCGTCTAATATGCTAAAACCGCACCGATCCGCATCAATCCGCACCGCTCTAATCACTAACCATGGTTTAAACTTTAAATTTTATAATCCGCCAACCGAACCGCTCCGCTCCGCTATACTAAATACATATATATTTTTTAATTTCCAATGAAATATCAATGTAAAAATGAGTGTAAGAGAGATTTAAGATATAAAATTTATTACAAATTAGTGGTTATATATATGAAACATATTATATAAAATTACTTTGTGTTATATATCTAAAAAATATTATACAAATTAGTGTTATATATTATGCAAATGTGTGATAATTAATTAGAATATTCTTCAATCCGCCAAAAACTGCCCAAACCGCAATTTGTCAATCCGCTAATCCGTTAACCTGTCATTCGGTTTGTAATTTTACTCTCAAACCGCCCGAACCGCACCGCGCACACCCTTAGGTATGGCTACTTGTGTTTGATTTAAATGATGCACAATTGGTACCTAATCTAATCTTGTTAATGATCCAAGATGTGATTAAGTGTATGATGTGCTAAGGCATTTTGTAATGTTAGGTGTGGTGGATTAAAATCCTTTAGTGGATGTGTGCTGAGAAATCTGTGTAGGTGTATTGAGAAATCTGGGTTAGGCATTTGGTGATGTTGAATATAGCGGATCACAACCCTTGTGTGTGTTGGAGCCTTGCATACATAACCACATGGGCATTTTTGATGAGAAGTGAGGTGTGTGTATGTGTATATTCAGCTTGAGTGAGAGAATGTTTGTATTATACATTTTGCTCATTTGATTCTTTATGCTAAGAGAGTTCAAGCTAGAGAGGGAGAGAGAGTTTGGCTTTAGAGAGAGAGAGCTCAAAAGTTTGAAGAAGAAGAAGAAGAAGAAGAAGAAGAAGAAGAAAACTAGGAAGATTCATCCCATATTTCTGAAATTAAAGCTTTGGGTAAGAATTCTATGACTAATTTCTATTGTAAATCCTCCATGCATCATGATTTCAACATATCTTTGAACTAATTTCATGAAATTAGTAAGAGAAATGGGTCTTTAAGCTTGTAGATGACTTGCATGTGCATTCTTGGAGATTAACCTTTGGTGCCATCATTTTGAGTTTGAGTTTTGAAGCCATTGCAAGCATGTGAGTTCATATCTTGCATAATATTTTGGAAATTCATGGGTTCATAACAACCATTTGCATGTTTTGAAGAAATCATGAAAATAGTTTGAAAATTTTACATGCAAGAGCTTTGAGTTCAGTTTTGGTAAATTCATGAGATTTCAAAGCAAATGGTTTTTAAGGGGTCATGTATATATGTTTTCTAAAGTATTGTGTTTTTGAATGAGCTAGGCATGACCCAAGGCTTTGAATTTGTGTTTGGAGCTCAAACTTTATGTTTTAAAAACCCAGAATTTCACAGTTATGTTTTAAAAACCCAGAATTTCACAGCTGGCTCGAGCGACAAAGTGGTGGGTCGAGCCAACATTACGAGCTCCCAGTATTTTGAACTCTGCAAAAGCTAGCTCAAGCGAAGAAGTGGTGGCTTGAGTGAGCTCAGTTTTTTCCTTCAGCTGGCTCTAGCCACGAAAAGCTAGTTCCAGCCAACAGCTTATTTTCAGCATGTTTTCAAAAGATGTTTTAAGTACAAATCTTTGCTCCCATCTCTTTTCGGGCATTCTTAGACATGATTTACGATCCATTAAGGATTAATAAGCTAAGAAACAACATACATAAGTGAATTAGAAATTATGTGTCGAATCCGAGTATGTGGTTCAATATGAACAAGCTATGTGACATGGAATGAATAAGAAGTTAAAGCAAGAAAGTTAAGCCATGAATGGCCATATGAATGAGTGATAATGAGACATGTTTTGTGCTATATACATTTGTGTTTGTAGGTCAAGACTCAAAGACTGACCAACTATTTTTGGAAGCCCACTGTGAGTAATGTTATTGTAAAGATATGTTCATATGACTTATGTTCCAAATGTGATTTGATAAGTTATGATTTCTGAAATCATATTTGTTTACGTGAACAAATGTCCTATGTTTGAAATCTATTATGGCATCCATAGATAGTCCCAAGTCATGGGGGATAGCATGTTAATATGGGTCCATGACATATATGTGATTACGAGATCTCGTTAGCTACTTGTCAAAGTGGTGATGTGTTTAATCGGTATCCGGAACTAATTACTCTAGTCGCAAGATGATGTGTTATGTTCTATTAGATGTACCATTATTATGTTCTGATATGAGGATGATTATGTTATTATCTATTTATGAATACAACATGTTTGGAATTCGTTCACTAACCTCTTTACCTAATGTTATTCACTGGGTTTTAGCTCACTGTGTGTATATATATGTATAGGTGAGCGTTCTGGAGATCAGGCCTGAAGACTTTTGTCTGGACTTCTGTTTTGTAAAGCCAACCATTGCGCCTCTCGTGGAGGTTCCGAATATGTCATGTGTTCAAGCCCTTGTGATTGACTTAACTTTTGTTTTCTCTGTTAAGGTTTAAGACAACTTTTTGTATATGGGGTTTAATCTCTTCTTACTTGACTATAATGTATGTGGGTATAATGTAAGAATGGCTTTTGGACATTGTACATAAAGTTAAAAATCTCTATTTCATATAAGTCAGCACAACTCATTGGACGATTATATATATGTTTTTGCTTCCGCTAGCCCTTTATTTTGTGATTCTGTTTCAGAGGCCGCTGGATATATATATGCACATATCATAGAACCCCCAGATGGCGTAGATACAGACAATAAATAATTCATGGATTCTAAGGGTCTAGTTAATTTTCGAGAAAAGGCATGCGACACAAATGAGTGTGTAGAACCAGAATATATCAAGACATATGTATTTTGGACACAAATGGAAGTTATACCTGACACCACAGACTCGGTGTTTTGTACATCTCCGGGCACTAGTGTGAACACTCTCCCTTGCCTCAACGTTTCATTCCCAGTGTTACCCCTGACATTAGTTCTAGTATTTGACCTGGCCACCGAAGCTAACCTAGCTGAACTTGCTGCGAGGCGATTGGCATTCTCGAGCCCAAGTGGACAATCTTTTATCATATTGCCAACTTTGCCACACCGGTAACAAGCACCAGATGCACGATGACATATTCCCTTATGCTTTCTTCCACAATCAGGACAGTTTAGAATAGAGCCACTACTCTGGCTAGAGCTACTGGAAGATTCTATATTCTGTTTCTTTTTTGGAAATGACCGGCCCTTCTTGAAATTGAATCCGAATCTTTTACTTCTCCATTCTGTGATATTGTGATTGGTAATGTGATGTTGTATGTTGACTTATTGCCGTTGGGAATTGATCATTTTGACTGTATACTGGGTATGGACTGGTTAACGAAGTATTGTGCGACTATTGACTGTGTGAATAAATCTGTTGTATTTCGTCCACCTGGCTTACCTGAGTTTGTGTTTACTGGGAATGGGGTAATTTTCCCCCCCCCATACCTGATTTCTGCTATGAAAGCTGTTAAACTGCTTAGGAAGGGATGTAAGGGTTATATGTGTTGTGTTTTGATTGAGATTTCTAATAATTCTAATGTGGAAACTATTCTTGTAGCTTGTGAATTTCCCGATGTGTTTCCAAATGACTTGCCTGGAGACTTAGTTGATAGGGAAATTGAGTTCACTATTGAAGTAACACCGGGAACAGAACCTATTTCCAAGACCCTTTACAGAATGTCAACCTCATAACTGAAAGAATTGAAAACCCAACTTTAAGAACTGTTAAACAAGAAATTCATCCGTCTGATCATTTCACCTTAGGGTGCTCCAATTTTGTTTGTTAAGAAGAATGATAGGTCCTTGAGATTATGTATAGATTATTGGGAACTGAATAGAGTAACTATCAAGAATAAATATCCATTGCCCCGGATAGATGATTTATTTGACCAACTTCAGGAAGCCCAAGTGTTTTCTAAAATTGACCTCCGATCAGGCTATCATCAGTTAAAAGTTAAAGCAGAAGATATAGAGAAAACAATATTCAGAACTAGATACGGGTACTGTGAATTTTTGGTCATGCCATTCGGGTTAACAAATGTACCAGCGGCTTTTATGGACCTAATGAATCAGGTTTGTAAACAATATCTCGATGAATTTATCGTTGTGTTTATTGATGATATCTTGATTTATTCTAAAAAGAGGGAAGAACATGAAAGCCACTTGAGAACTACTCTACAGATTTTGAGAGAAAAGAAATTGTATGCAAATTGTCCAAATGTGAGTTTTGACTTGACAGCGTGACATTTCTGGGACACGTAATCAACAAGGATGGTATCTTCGTTGACCCACAGAAAATTAAAGCCATTATAGATTGGCCAAGACCTACCAACGTGTCAGAAGTTAGAAGTTTTCTGGGGCTTGCAGGGTATTATCGTCGGTTTGTGAAAGACTTTTCAAAACTTGCTATGCCACTAGCACAATTAACACAAAAAAATGTACCATTTGATTGGGCCGATCAGCGAGAATCAGCTTTCCAAGAAGAAGACTAGACTAATAACTACACCTATCCTGACATTGCCTAACGGAGCCAATGGGTTCTAGATTTATAGGGATACCTCCTACAAAGGCTTGAGATGTGTACTAATGCAAAATGGGAAAGTAATTTCTTATGCCTCTCGGCAACTCCGTCCTCATGAAAAGAATTACCAAACTCATGATCTTGAACTGGCAGCTGTGGTGTTTGCTTTGAAAATTTGGTGTCACTATCTGTACGGCGCAACTTGTGAAGTGTATACCGATCACAAAAGCTTAAAATATTTCTTTACTCAGAAGAAACTGAACATAAGACAGAGAAGATGGTTGGAATTGATAAAAGACTATGACTTACAAATTCTATATCATCCAGAGATAGCAAATACCGTTGTAGATGCATTGAGCTGGAAATCTATCAAGAATTTGTCATGTTTGCTCATAGGTCGGAGAGAATTATCATGTGACTTTGAATCACAGAGGAACCTATGCGACTTGGTAGACAGAAGAAGACATGATGAAAAGATACCCTGACTTATTTCCGTTAAATCCGATATTCTTCCAAAATGAAGGTAATTCGAGTTTGGAGTACCAAACTCTTTAAGGGGGAAAGACTGTAACAACCCTGACTTGTGATTAGCTGGCTAACCATGATTAATTATGCCCAATAATTAAGGTGAAATTCTGAGAAAACTACATGTGTGTTACATTATTTGTGCTCATACCTATCTAATGTAGAAATATCTGTTTGGATTCTATTTTGTTCTGTGAATTGAAGGCCTTATTGGCATCCAATTACAAAATTGACTTGGTTTATGTGTTCTTTGGAAATTTTAGAACATTATGGCGGGTTCAATTGAAATTTGATTCTGAGCGATTAAATTAGATTAATTAATGTCTAATTGAGTAGCTTAAGCACTAATTTAATTAAACCACTAATTAAGCCTATATAAGGCCTATACACACCACTTGAGCCACCTTTTTCTCATCATCTTTGAACCTTCAAGAGACAAATGTGAAAGAGGGAGAGATAGGAGAGATTGAGTTCAACCAAAGAATTTGCTAGAACTTGAAGGGAGTGGACTTAGAACAACAAGAATCAAGCTTCTAGTTCTTACATTGACAAGCTAAGGTAAGAATTCAAGCCTTTGATCCTGTTCTTGAGTTGGTGAATTTATGAATTCTAAAGAATTGAGTGGTTTATTGTGAGAAGTGAGCTAGAAAGAAGGAACATAGATCATACCATGCATGTATGTTCATTTGAGCACAATTTAAGGTTATTTTCAAAGAATCTCCTCTTGCATGTCTTTATCTTGATCTTCTTCTAAGAATTTAACATGTTTTTGAGTTAGACACCTCATTGGATCATGTTTTGAAAGCTTTGAACTTGCACCTTTACATGCATGATATATGATGTTATGTTTTTAAAGATTTGGGTTTTGTCTCGAACAATTTAAGGATTTGGGTTTTGTCTCGAACAATTGGCAAGCTCCTAGGCCTTGATCTTGTGAAATGATTTTGAATTCACCATGGTTTCACCATTTACAATTGTTTCCTATAGTTTCCTCAAGTTTTTGGCCCACAAGACCTTGTTTCACAACTTTAAATTTGAGTTTTGAGCTGAGAAGAGCAATCTGGAAATCCCATAATTTTGCTCTCCGCTCGAGTGTCAAAACTTATGCTCGAGCAACCACTCTGTGATCTTACACTTTCGCTCGAGCGACCAGAAGTCCACTCGAGCGTGAAATGCAAGCTCCCAGAAGTTTCGTGTTTTTGCAGACCACTCGAGCGACAAGAGTTGAGCTTGAGAGAGGACCTGAGTCTCATGCTTGAATGACTGTCAAGCGCCCGTTGAGCGTGAAAATCACACAACCAGTACTTTTTCAAAGTTTGCAGACCCCTCGAGCGAAGGAAGCTGCACTCGAGCGGCCCCTCACATGTTTACATGTCCGCTCGAGCGAAGAAAGTTGCACTCGAGCGAAACCCCTGTTTTCAACAAGTTTGGTTAAGTGTTTCCAGGCCCATTTTGGCATCCTAATTGCATCCTAGGCATTCCTAGGCCAAGACTAAGACACAATAATGAGAGTGAAGGCTAGAAACACACTAAGAACAAAATGAAATAAGTTATGTACAATCCAAGCGTGTGTTTTAGTATATGTATCTATTATGATTGGTGTAGGTCACGCGTCGTGAGCGGTTGATCCATTGGTTTGCTGCCAAGCTATCTGTGAAACTATCTGTGAGTAATAACTTAGTAAAGCTCTGTTCGATATGAAATACTTTCCGAACATTATGATATGATATGAATTGTTTTTGAATGTTACAAAAAGTTGTTATGTGATTACATGAATGATGATCCACTTCTTTGAAATGTTTATGTGGTATCCTTAGCAGAGGCCCTCGCCTAGGGGCCATAATACTATTGCTTATGGTCATAAGGCCCTCGCCCAGGGGAGATAATACCGTGGCCCAGGCCCTCGTCCGGGGGAAATAATACTGTGGCATAGGCCCTCACCCAAGGGAAACAATACTGTAGCTCATGTATGAAATATGTTACCCAGTACCGGAGGTTCCAATATAGAACTTAATAAGCTTGACCAAAAAGATATGTTTGATGCTAACGGATACACCACTCATGTTATGAATATGTTTATGATTCTGTTTCTAATACGAATATAGATATGCTTCTGTTCAATAAGAGATTTGAAGTTATGTTTGTGATGGACATCATTCATTTAAACCCTTTTACTCTGTTATTGTTCATTGGGCTTCCGCTCACTATTTATATTATGTATGTAGGTGACCAGACGCGAGACCAGACTCAGAATTGAGGACTTGGCGTATCAGTTTTGTTAGCCATCCATTGTGTCTTCAAGGAGGTTCCTTTTTGCAAGCGAGTTAAGTTTAAATGGCTTGAGTTTAAGACCCTGTCTTCTTTGGGGTGTAAAACAAGTTTTCTATTATCTGTATATTGGGCTAAGTCCCTTTTGGCTATATCTGTAATGAATGTGACGAAGACTACTGCATTATGACATCACGTATATGTGTATAAAGTTTTAAAAAAAATTATGTCCTATATATGTCTCCACAGCTCAATGAACTATGTATGTTTCTATAT